GCCCAGCCGGCTCGGCCCCTTCCTCGCCGCGCCCGCCAAGCCGGCCAGCCCGCGGCCCCCTCACCTGCAAGCCCCGCTCCCGAGGCAGCTTCTGCAGCCGCGACAGGGCCGTCCCGTCTTCCGGCTCCATCCTGCGCGACGCCGCAGTCTGAATCACGTGACTAAACCCGCGTCTCCACTCGGGCCGGCTTCAACCACGTGACTCTAACTCTGGTGGGCGGGGCTAAGGGGCGGGACTCCGAAGTCCGAGTGCGCTTGCGCGGAGAAACAGCAGCGCTTCAGCGAGTTGATAGATGCTTTCTGGGTTTGGAGGGGGGATGTTTTCTATGCACGCTTTGCTGTTCCCTGTGAAGGCAGATTTACCAAGCTCGGAAGGTCGTTTGTGTTTCTACTGAACCTTCTCTTCACTCTGTAGAAACCGTCTAATAAGAATCACCGTATGTTGTATTAGAATAATCCCGGGGCCAGGAGTCCCAGAGTTTTAACAAGTCTCCTACTGAGTCATCCTGATTGGTTTACTGTAAGGTTCTTTAAACAGATTATTCTAATAGAAACAGAAGGTACAGTTTTCACCCCCACATGCAAACAACAAGTGTGATCTGAGAGGTCATCAGAATTGTCAGATGGAACACATAAATATATACAAAATCCCAGGCAAGTGTGACACTTCAGATAAATGATGAATTATATCTAAGTATCTCCTAAACATTGCACAGGATACACTTAAACTAAAAACTTATTCACTTGTTTTCCTGGAATTAAATTTTAACTGAATTTCCTGTATTTTATCTGGCAACCTCAAAGATCTCAAACCCATGCTAAATAAGACAGAAGTACAGCCATAAGTTAAAAAATCAGAGGCTTTATACACAAGACACTATGTTGGAAACGACCTATACAACTTGGGGGAGAGGGGTTGAAGTGGAGGGAAAGTGGAAGAAAATTGAGGGAAGGAGTAACAAGGTTGACAAGAAACATACGCACTACCTTACTTACTTATGTAATTCAAACCCCTCTGTACATCACCTTGACAATAAAAAATAAAGAACCATTCACCATAAAAAATAAATAGATAAAAATCATCAGCCTAAGTTCAAAAAGTACTAGCATTATTCCCCTCCTTGTGACAGCTGTTACTTTAATCAGATGCTGAAAAATTGAGGGTAAGATGACCTCTGCCATGTCAAAGCAAATGATACCTAGCAGAAATAAGGACGCAAATCTAATCTGTAAAGTTAATAATAAAAGTGGAAAGGTAACATATACTACAGAGGAGAACATAATTCTTCAATATGTAGGTTGTGTAGAGAAAAACTACTTGGTAGCAGCACCTTGGAGGTGAAGATATGGCCGGGCGCTGGTGGCTCACGCCTGTAATCCTAGCTACTCAGGAGGCTGAGATCTGAGGATTGCGGTTCAAAGTCAGCTGGGGCAGGAAAGACCGTGAGACTCCTATCTCCAATAAACCACCAGAAAACCGGAAGTAGCGCTGTAGCTCAAGTGGTAGAGCGCTCGCCTTGAGCTGAAGAGCTGAGGGACAGCGCCCAGGCCCAGAGTTCAGCCCCACAACTGGACCCAAAAAAAAAAAAGAAGATATGCTATTTCAACCTTTTCAATACTATGCCATATGTATGGTCTTTCTGTGGAGATTTTTTCATTTTAAAACTGTCCATCTCATTGCCATTCCTTGTAATCACTGTAACAATAACCTCCACTTTTGTGAAATGTTAGGATTTCAGCGGGTACTTCTTAATTAGTGAAGAAATATTCAACCCAAGGAAGATTTGAGTGATTTTTCTCATCTAACATGTTTTACATATTTTTGTTTTAGTTTGTGTTATGTTTTTGTTTTTGTGTTGGGGCTTGAACTCTGGGCCTGGGCGCTGTCCCTCAACTCTCAGCTCAAGGCTAGTGCTCTACCTCTTGTGCCACAACACTACTTCTAGTTTTCTGAGTGGTTTATTGGAAATAAGAATCTCAAAGACTTTTCCTGCCCGGGCTGGCTTTGAACCACAATCCTCATATCTCAGCCTTCTGAAGAGCTAGGATTACAGGTGTGAGCCACTGGCATCAGCTTTTTGTTTTGTTTTATTTTATTTTTCCATGATGGAGTTTGAACTCAGGGCCTGGGTACTGTCCATGAGCTCTTTTGCTCAAGGCTAGTGCTCTTCCACTTTGAGCCACAGTGCCACTTCTGGGTTTTTTTTTTTTTTTTGAGTTTATTGGAGATAAGAGTCTCACAGGGACTTTTCTGCCCAGGTTAGCTTAGAATCAGGATCATCAACTCTCAGCCTCCTGAGCAGCTAGGATTACAGGCATGAGCTACTGGTGCCCTGCTGATGCTTTCTATTTTTAAAATAGTCTTATCGTTTGCACACCATATAATCCAGCAATTTAAAGTCCAGTTTGGAAGAGAAACCATGTCCCCACAATTCAGTTTAAGACTACTACTGCCCTCCATGTCCCTTATGTGTTCCTTGTAGTTCTCTAGATCAGTTAAGTTCCAAACCAAAATTAATATATGAACAAGTGCCATATATTATCAGAAGTTCAAAAGAGAAGGTCCTCATTATCATGGGGTCATAGATCTTCAGGTAGGAAAAGCAGGATTAAGAATATAGATTAAATGTACATAGGTAGAAATGGATACACATAGTGATGTACTTGGAAAGACTCACACAACCAAAAACACAAATAATAAAGCATAATGCCATTCCTAGCTTTGGTGCACATATTTTAATCTTAGCTATGCTGAAAACTAAGACCTGGACAATAGATGTTCAAAGCCAACCCAGGCAGAAAACTCTGAGAGACTCCATCTCCAAAATAATCATCATAAATCAAGACTGGAGGTGTGGCTCGACTGCATGAACACTAGCCTTGAGCAAGCAATCAAGCGGAGCAAACACAAGTCCCAGTATTAATGAAAACAAAAATCAGTAAAAGACGTTTTTAGTATATATCCTCAAATAAGTAGATATATAGATCGGAATAATTTGAAGCCACATGTATATAAAATATTCTGAAGAATATTCACATCCAGAGCAAAAGAGGCAGAATTTTCCAAGATGGCCTTTCTGTTGACATTGTTGCTAAATTATAGAGCAGATCAGGAAGAAATAAGAACTGGGTCAGGTAATTATAGTGTTAGAAGCCAAACTAACCTTGGAAGGCATGTAATCCAACTTCTTAGGGAATTGAGGCTCTGCAAAGATAAAGTCACCAGAGGTCAAGGCTAAGCACTGATTATAACATCAACATGGAGAGTTCTGCCAGCAGACTGGCTTTTAACTTGAATTTCCATATCAACTCTTTCTGGGGTCTCTACATGCTAGCCTACTCTGAATGTTTTGTATATAACAACCTTATGAATGTGAGTCCATTTCTCTCCTTCTCTCTTCTCTCCCTTCCTCCCTCTCTCCTTCCCTCTTCCTTCGCTCCCTTCTCCCCCACCTCCGTGCTTTCTTGTTATATGAAGAATTCAAGAATAAGAGTAAGAGGACTAACTGGTTGTAGCTGGTGGTCTTGAAGGACTAGTCCATACCCAGTCCAGCTGAATTGGTGGACACTTCTCTTACCTTCTGAAATGTTTTTTAATATAAAAAGCTTTATGTTAAGAAATTTACAGATAAGCCAGATGCTGGTGGCTCACACCTGTAATCCTACCTACTAAGGAGGTTGAGATCTGAGGATAGTGATTCAAAGCCAGACGGAGCAGGAAAGTCTGTGAGACTCTTATCTCTAATTAATCACCAGAAAACTGGACCTGGTGCCATGGCTCAAGTGGTAAATCACTTGCCTTGAACTGAAAAGCTCACTACTGCCAAAAAAAAAAAGAAATTTATAGACAAATGAAGCCTACAATTTATATAGCCCTCCTATAACTCTTAATGACACCCTAATCCAGGCCCAGTTTGCTTTCTTTAATTTCCACATACTAGAAGATGCTCTTCCAGGTACTCTAGGCCATTTGAGTCAGGTCCTCAGGTTCTGTACTTTCATTCTGAAAATCAGTTTGACCAGATTTTAAGAGAAGAGAAATTGATTTGGTGTTTTTGTTTTTTGGGGTTTTTTTGCCAGTCCTGGGGCTTGAACTCAGGATCTGGACACTGTCTCTGAGCTTCTTTTGCTCAAAGCTAGCACTCTACCACTTGAGCCACAGTGCCACTTACGGCTTTTTCTGTTTGTGTGGTGCTGAAGAATCAAACCCAGGGTTTCATGCATGCTAGGCAAGCACTTACCACTGAGCCACATTCCCAGACCCAGAAACTGTCATTTTATGCCTCCATTTCAAGACCTTCTCATCTTGGACAAGTTTCTCTAGCTGTTCGTGTCTTGGATTTCTCATCTTTAAGAATGAGTTTATAGGGCTGAGATGATTGGATGAAATAGTATCTGTAAGCTGCGTAGAACAGTGCCTAGTCCAGACAGGGTTCACAAGCACTCAGTACAAAAGTAGAAAATCTTGGACTAGGAATATGGCTCAGTGGTAGGGTGCTTGCCTAGCATGCATGAAGCCGTGGGTTCAATTCCTCAATGCCATATAAACAGAAAAGGCTGAAAGTGGCGCTGTGGCTCAAATGGTAACAAGGTAGCCTTGAGCAAAAAGAAGCTCAGGAATAGTGCCCAGGCCCTAAGTACAAGCCCCAGGACTGGCAAAAAAAAAAAAGTAGAAAATCTTGTGATGGTATTATTAAAACTGAAGATCATCTACAAGGGACAAGTTTAATTGTGAGCTCCCTTTTTAAAAATTTACCATGGGAAATGTCCTAATTCTTGCTTGAATCATACTCTGTTAGTAAGTATAGGGGAGAAAGATGTGGCTCAATATGAATCATGAAAATATAAGCTTGTGATCCAGGTCAGAAATTACAGGTACACAGAAAATATTTTGAAGCAAACAAATGCCCGTATTACTTGATATGTTATATGTTGGAGCAATGGGCTCAAAGAACAAAAATATTTCTCTATCATATATAACTAGACAAGAAGTATCATATCAGGAAGAATCCTGATTATGGTTTTATAAGATACACATATATATATATATATCTATACATAGTCATATATAGAGAGATAGATATATATTTATATTCCTAGAGCTTTAACTTGAGTTAAAGCTGACCCTAGATGCTGACCCTGAGACTTTTTGCTCA